TTATATTTTAATTATATTTTAATTATATTTTAATTATATTCTTATTATATAGTAAATATATTTAGCAAAATCAAAGGCTTCTGCAAAGCTATTACACCGCATCCTCATATCTCTAATTATAATTGAACACCAAATTATTTGAATTATTGTAATTCTGGCCGAAAAAAAATATTTATCAAATGTTTATATCCTAACATCTATATTATCAAATTATATCGCTTTGTTTTTGTGTAAAGTTACATAACAAATATCAAAAAATTTAGCTACCTATATGGATGACTTGTTGATTTCTGCACTGTAGTATGAATTTACACTCCTATAGCTCCCAGCGATCAATAATGTTTTTAATTATTCCATTGTTTTCAAACAATTCCTGTCTTGCCTCCATTACTTGGTATGTATAGGTACTATTAAATCTACAACATTCTTCAGGACCGGCTATAAAATAATCAGCTTTCATCAAAATCAATTTATCAAAGATTCCTTGAATACCACCACCACGAAGTTCGCTTTGCATTTTTTCACTTTTTATAGGATACAATTGAAGATAATCTAAGGCGCTTGTTGATACCCAAGTATTTACATTAAATGATGAATTTAAAATTTTCATTGCTTTATGGTGTTTTTCGCCTATGCTGTGAAATGTACGTGACTGTGCTTTATTACGTCTAACAAGTGGATAATCTGTAGCTAAATAAATGTTTTTAATTCCAGTCGTTAATGAAAGATTTCTTATATAAGTCACAAGACTTTCAGCGCATTTTGGCATAAAATTTGTTTGACCACGTTCCATACGCCAATGAATTGCAATGTACGGTTTTAATTTTTTTGAAAGGTTTAAAGCCGCATTGGTTACATGACTTGCATATGAAATCGGAGTGAGTCTTTCAAATATTGGACCACGTATTATTTCGTGCGTTATAAGCATAACTTCAGCATTACTTTCTAATTCAGTTGCTAAAAATTTTTTTAGTTCATGATTTTCCTGTCCATTTCTTGAATCGTTGGCGGTAATACCGATATTTATTCGCTTAAATGTTGCTGAATTATTCAATTTCAAATCAAATTTATCCATTTTATAATCTTTTAAAAGTCTATCAAAGTATGGGGCTTCATTTTGAATTGTGTAATTTGGATTAGATACGGAATTACTAAGAAACACATGTATAATATCTGGTTTATCGTATCGTTCTGTGGCCCACTTTTGAAATTTGTATTGTGAAATAAATTTAACTTTCGGGAATTTTTTGCTTAGCTCATCAACATCATAATAAAAGTCGAAAGAGAAATTTTTGTGTGAAGATATGCCTGATCCTCCAACATTGGTCAACACCACTATGCGGTCTAGTTGTTGTGCAATTTGTATGAAAGAGATAAAATGTCTGTTGGATTGAGTTTCTTGCTCTACGACATGATATGCGAACAAAAATTTACATTTATTTTCATTACAATATTTTCGGTTTATCTCGTTATCTGATGTTATTTCCCTTGTCTCGATGTAGAAATATTTGTTAATCTCCCAAATGATGAAAAGAAATAATGTATATAACATAACATGTGAAATAGGTTTAGACCATGATGATACTCTGAAGTTCATCTTTTCAAATTGGTACGTCCTGAAAGGTTCTTTCCAATTTATTTGTGCCACTATTGATTGATGTGTTATTTTGTGTATTCTTTTGAGCCTTATGTCGTCCCTTTTAACCAACAAGAAGTCTTTGAAAGAATAGCGTGTGTAACTTCCTTTTTTTTTTTTTGGTCTTGTTTTAATTTTTTAATTCGTTCTTAATTTATCTCGGATATCATTGTTCCTATTTTTTGAGCGGCTTCTAATTTATAAAGTGTATGGTTATATGAAAGAATGAAATGATGCACGTGAACCCATCATCTGATCGAATAGCAATTTCGTAATTTTAAATATATGCATGTATTTAAAAATGCGTAACGTTAATAAATGATTTTCATGCATACATACATGTTTTCTAGATTTTTATTGGTCTAAGACAATAAACGCTAATCTTTATTATTTCTAAAAATGTATAAACAACGATTTCCATATATTTATATGGGAAATATAAATTTGGAAATTTATATTAGCTTTTTGATTACAACTGCAATAAATTTTATGGCATAAATATGAGTAATGCAGGAGAGTTCAATTTTCACGTTTATTTAATAAGGTAGCTGCTCGTGCAAAACCAGAAACGGAAAGAACAATATTATCTTAAATTAGATTATGAACCATCTTAATAGATTGAAATAAAAGATTTTAATTATTATACAAAAAGCTATACAGATAAGATTGATTTAAAATGAAACTTGCAAAATGTATATGTACTATATATATTTATTACATGTAGTCAATAACAAAACCGGTAAGTTTAAACGATATTTGCATTTCTGTGATTTTATTTTAAGAACATTTTAAGTAAGATTAATTAATTAACATTATTTGATTATATTGCCACATAAAAATAAAACTTCATAGTAAAAACTTTCTTTCTTTAAAAAGTAATCATATTTTAGTATACTTATTTTATTAACATCAGAGTCAGTTTAAAGCTCGCAGTTATAGAAAAGACGGTTTAGCACTGTACGTAAAATTTAATATAGTGAATTTTAATTTACATTGCAAATGAGTTCAAATGCTCATATTTTATTTTTAATTGATTAAAACTCTCCGAAATTTTCTTAATTAAATTCTAATTTACTCACAAGGGAGTTCAAAATGGGAGAATAAAATTTATTTTTTTTTGATAATATTCATCGTAAGCATTTACATAAATAAGTACTGTTAGACCTAAAAGGCTTCTCCAAATCAGAAGTTATACGGACATGCATGGCCACTAGATCATGTGATTCACGTGATAGCAATAATGATGGGTGACGCAACGATTTTGGCATGACGCAATGGTTTCGTCAATGGTTTCGTCAGACGCAACTTTGACGATTGACGCAACGGCTTACACATCGATCTACATATCCGGATCAAACATTGCCGGTAATGAGGCAATTTTGCTATGAATTCGTAGCGTTGGTCATACTAATGGTATGTTTGGATGTTCAATAAATATTTGGTCAATTGTTCCAAACAATTCGGTATTTCGGTCGTATTGTACGTTATCTTTAATTTGCCGAATCTTAATTGGTATTGTTCCTTCTTTGTTTTGAGTTTCATGAGTGAATAAACAAAGTCTTGATTTTTCAATAATTTCATA